ATACGTACGAGCTGGCTTTCCCAATGAGGAACTTCAGGCCATCGCAAATCAACTTTTGATTCAGCATCAGAACTCCAATTTGCAGGTCTTAAAAATTGCTCTTGCTGTTTTTGGCATGGGGTTCTCTTTTGTGTGCTTCCTTTGTTTTTCCTCTTTCCTCTTCCTTGTTTCTTCCTGTCCCTTCTCTTGGTTGTTGTCTTTCTGTGGTCTCTTGTTTCCCTCCGTCAGCTCCCTGGCTCAAGCTTCGCTTTCCTTTTGCTCCACTTTCGTTTGATCGCTCATGTATCATGCTCAAGGACGAGCGTTCCATCATCATGTGGCTAGAGCTATCATGCATCTCAACTATTTGGCAGGTCTCTTGCCTTTCTTCGAGCCCTCCATCGAATATGATGAAGCGCCGCCTCCGACCAATTTCCGTCTTGATCATCCAAACACCAGAGGCCTGCACACTTTTGTACCTCGCCCGACATCCGAAGGTCCTCCGACCTTGGTATCACATGGAGGCATCCCTTCCCACATGGTCTTGAATCCAGAACCGTTTCTGCGACCGGCATCAACGAGCTCTCCACCAACCAATACATCTATTCTCGCCACTGGTACACCTCGGCCTGCCAGTGTTATGACGGACCCTGGTCCAACTCCGCCTCCTGGTTCCACAACAACAATTACCTTCCCTACGGCCCCTACACGCACCACCACACCTGTGCCAGTGCGATCAAAACAACGGTCATCATCTCTGGTGGACCCACAACCAAAAAAGAAACAGAAAGGGGAGTCAATTCCTGAACCTAGACTCGCCCACAATCTTGATGCTGTCCATTCGACATCGTTACCCACCGCAGACATGAATTCGGATGACTCCGATGGTGAAGCCGCGTCAAGAGAAGACATCAGCTACATTCATGGTGGGAAGGCTAGACCCAGAACACCGCCTCTGACCTTGACTCCAAATCCAAAAGCCCCGCCGTCTCCATTGATGCACATCACTCATGCTATTCCTGCTAATACACCTCCTGATCCGGCTCGTCCGTGGACCCACGCCGACGACCAAGAATTGATTGGCATGAAACAGGACACAAAGTCCAGACCTTCGTGGAAAACAATTGGAGCAAGACTCCATCGCGATCCTCAGCTCTGCAAGCTTCGCTGGGGACTTCTGAAACAGACATCAGAAGTGAATGACCCACCGGGTCCGGGCAATCCACCTCATGAATTGGAGGGTGATGACTGACTTTAGCATCAATTCCTGCGATGTCAAAAAAGGCGCCATTGCTGCCTTTTTTGTTGCTGTTGTTGTTTTGCTTCGGGTTTCCCTTTCTTTTTGCTTCTCTCCATGTCCTTTTTTGAGGTCTCCCTTGTGGTCTGTCTTTCTTTTGCCTGGGATGAATGCTCTTACTTGGTATCTGTTCACCCACAGCAAGTATGGCTCATTCATATTATCGTCATCGAACAGCTCCCGAACGCTCTCGCTCTCGGGACGACAACATGTGGCAAAACCGTGGTACTCATCAACAGGACAGGCAACGAAATCCTCAACCTGAGGAACCTCCTCCTGCTCCTCAAGTTCGAAAGGTCTTGGTCATCGTTGACATTGAACAAGTCCGTCCGCTCATGAACAAAACCCATGATGACTCGATGGCCGCTACAACATGTGAAGTTCTCCCTCGCCTCACTCCGGTCGAAGAACGTGCATTGTTCACATTCAACATCCTGCTCAACACACACAGGTTGGAAACCTTCACGGTGTACAACCTGTTGTATTGCATCAGCCAGCACATTTGGTATACGTGGGATCGATTCTTATCTCCTTCAGCCATGGACATCAGATGGCAAGATGATACTGGAGATACGTTTGCTCTCCGCAACGAAGAATACCTCGTCACCTACCTGAACGCATACCGCTCTCACTGGACAGAGGGACAAGAACATAATGAGTTCTTTCCACATCACATTCATCCCTTTACGTCTCACATTCAGCCTTACATTATGCGCTTGAGCTGCCATGAGGCTCTTCCAAACCGCAACATGCTTCCTTAAGGTTAAAAAGTCTCTTGCTTGTCGGGACATGGGACTCTCCCGCTATCTTGTGTGGTTTGCTTTTGCTTCTTGTTGTTTTTACCTGCTAAATTCTTTAGCTCTCGGCTCCAGCTTTACCATGACCAGGCGTGATTCCTCATTTGCCGGTCTCACGCGTCCTTCTTCATCCATGAACAAGTCACGTCGTGTTTCATGGAGATCCCGCAGTCATGGCCAATCCAGTAGCACTGCTGCTCCTTCGGATCTAATGCAGCCACCTCGTGGCGACAATGATCCCCAAGCTGGAAGTTTCCTCTCACCTCATGCATCAGGCGAGTACACAACCAACTATGGGTACTCTTCGGCAAATCTTGCCACACCCATACCATCTCCTGCCGATCATCAAGCTCCAATTATACCTACTCCTACAGGAGAATCATATCCACTCCAGCAAGAGATGGAAGAAGTCCGACGTCAGCTCCATGCATACTATTTCGTGGAAGTCCAATCACCTCCAGAAGATGACGATCAACCGGCGCTTCGACGACTTATGGTGACGGAAGTGGATCGACGTGGCCGCCACCACAATAGACAGCCTGAATATTTTTTCAACGGCATCATCGGCCATGTTCGTGCCGGACAGAATGGCTGGATTGATTCATGGGATCAATCCTCCCAGCTCGCCAACTACTGGCGACGCTACTTTCAGATCCCCGAGATCTCTCCATATGGTAACTGGCGTCCCTATCAAGCTGACGGTCCAGAGAGCCCTACATCGGCACATGAATCCGTCATGGATGACACAGATTCTCTCATTGCCAATGCTGACATCAATCCACCTCCTGTCCAGATTCATCAACTGGCAACGTTCTTCTGGAACATCCTCAACAATGACAGGGAGGCCAACCTGGCCATACTCGAACGTCTGGAGGATCCTGAAGGAGATCTTTCCCGACACCCAGTTCAGATCTTCTCGGCGGCAGACTTGGCTCATCTTGCTAGCCACTTGGCGGAATCCACCAGGACCTTGTCTATCCAAGCACGACGCATGGAGGCCTTACCTGATGACAGCCTGTGAGTTTTAGGATTAATTCATTCGATGTTTCTTCCCTGTATTTTGAAGCCAATTCCGCTTCAGGGAACGGATAAGAGCTCTCAATGTGGATGAATTGAAAAAAGCCTCGCGGCAGCGAGGCGTGTGTGTGGACCATCTGAAGAGATGTAAAACTTCCTATAGCTTTAACTTGGTTCAATTTTACTTCGTACTTGCAGGGGGCAGGAGCGTCATGGTAAGTCTCCTGCCAACGAAGACACTTACCATCGACGGTGATACCAGACTTGGCCAGTCTGGCGTACCTGCATCAGTTTTATTTCCTCGTGATGGGACGTGGCTAACCCAAGAACCACCAAGCCGTTTCATTTGTCAACCATTTGCTTTGTTCTATCTACTGCACTGTTGTCGCAATCTGGCATCATTTTATTTTATTTTGGACTTCACTGCATCAGAACCTTCCTCAGAGCAAGGACGTAGAGAGTTTACTTCGCACTGAAATTCACGTTGGATCAACCAATTTTTTCCTGGCAGTTTTTTAAGGGATTGTTTTGTGCACGTGTGATGCACTCCACAACAAAATTCGCAATGTTGTTTCTGAGCAAGTGTGTGTAAAAGCTTCGGTGCGTAAAAGCTTCTTTGTGCAAACGCGTTGCTCACCAGCAGCATTTATCATTTATCATCATATTTTCTTGTGTGCTATCTTCTCGTCTCCTCCCTCTAGCTTTCTTTCGGGCCACACTTTCGTCTAGTTTCAATCTGTAATGTCGTTTCTTGTTGAAGAATGCCAAGAACATGTGAATGAAACAGCGTCTGTGTGTAACACCTTCTGTGTGTAAACGCCCTTGTGTGTAAAAGCTCCTCTGTGTAAAGGCTTCTCTGTGTAAAAGCTTCTTTGTGGAAAAGCTTCCGTGTGTAAAAGCTTCGCTGTGTAAAGACTTCTCTGTGTAAAGACTTCTGTGTGTGAAAGCTTCCGTGTGTAAAAGCTCTCTCTGTGAAGACTTCTTTGTGTAAAAGTTTCTGTCTGTAAACGCGCCTGTGTGTTAAAGCTCTCTGTGTAAAGACTTCTTTGTGTAACAGCGTCTGTGTGTAACAGCTTCTGTGAGTAAAAGCTTCTGTGTAAAGGCTTCTCTGTGTAAAAGCTTCTTTGTGGAAAAGCTTCCGTGTGTAAAAGCTCTCTGTGTAAAGACTTCTCTGTGTAAAAGTTTCTGTGCGTAAAAGCTCCTCTGTGTAAAGACTTCTCTCTGTAAAAGCTTCTATGTGTAAAAGCCAGTTTGTACAAGGACTTCTCTGTGTAGAAGCTTCTGTGCATAAAAGCTTCTGTGTGTAAACGCGTCTGTGTAAAAGCTCCTCACCAGCAGCATTCATCATCATATTTTCTTGTGTGCTATCTTCTCGTCTCCTTCCTCCAGCTTTCTTTCGGGCCACACTGTCTTCTAGTTTCAATCTGTAACGTCGTTTCTTGTTGAAGAATGCGAAGAACATGTGAAAGCATCGCTTGCTTAAAAATTGAACATAAACAGCGCACAAAGTGCTGTAAATTACAGCATTTTGCGCTGTCAGATGGCAAGAACCCGTGTAAATACCACAGTTTTAGGCCCCGAAAGTGGATAACACACTGTTATTTACATGGTTTCGCTCACGTCACGCGCTTCGATCTTTTTTTTAAAAAGGGGTAAAAAAACCAGCGTTTTTTTTGCATTCATCAAGGCACATCAAAGCCAAAAATCGGTTCAACAAATGCTGTAATTTACTATGGGTTCTCGTTAGTTGTTTTGCCGCATAGAGTGCACCAGTGGTGGGGGGGGGCTTTGTCGCTTGGGGGGCTGGCCTTCTCTTGCCCGGCTCCTCTACGTCAGGCGGCGGGGGGCTGCCCCTTTCCGCATTATTGGGTCGGAGTTGGCTGGTCCTCCTTGCTTCATTGTCCCCCACCATGGCTCCTTCTCCCGGCTGGCTCGGCTTCGTTGTCCTTGCTTCTGCCCTGAATCCCATGGCACTGAACTTTGGTCATTCCACATCCTGTCGTTGTCGCGGAACTCCTTCAGCTGGGCTTCTTCCCACCTTGGGTCGCCACGAGCGTCGGCGCCTCACCCACGCGCTCAACCAGACTTGGGCCTCTCCGGCACCGGCTCTTCTTGGCTTTGGGCTCTGGCGTCGCCCGTCGTACCCCTGCTTTCCGTGCAGGGCTAGCAGACACCTTCACCCAAAGCAGCGGGGCACCTGGGACCGGCGCCTGCAGCGTCGATGCGGCTTTGCCGGCGTCCGGGTGGGGGAGATCCCACCCAACCCTGGCTCTGATCCTGATTCACTCGCAATGGAAGTAGATGGGGGTCAGCCAGCTCTGTCTCGAGTCTTCTGCCCCGTTGCTGGCTGCCCCCATGCAGACTCCAGCCGGGCGCGTGGGTGGGCCAACCATGTCAGCATGCGCCACCACATCGATGCGCACTTGGCTGGCTCCCTATACAAGGTGAAGTCCCCCTTGACTGGCTCCAGGCCCAAGGCCGCACTCGCTGTCTGGCTTGTGGCCTCAGCGTGTCAGTCCGACACGGGGTCCACCCGACTTGTCACCCCGCACTCCGGGCCGCCATCAGCTACCCACTTTCCGGGAAATTCAGCAAGGCGCCACGCCAACTCTCCGCCATGTGCCGCGCAGTGCCCGCCACTTGTGGATCCAGACCCTGGCACGAGCCCTTGCCGCCGTCGTGCACCACAACGGCGAGCAGTCCTGGAAGGAACTCCTGATGCTGCCTCGCTGTGTCCTCGGCGTCCCAGCCCGTGGCGGCCGCAAGCATGCCAAAGCCAGCGCTGCCTATACCTTGGACCGCCTCCACCAGTGGCAGCAGGGCGAAAGGCACAGCCTGTGGAACTCGCGTGGGCAACTCCCCGGCTCCGGGCGCAACAAACCATTGGCTGCACAGGAACGGCGGACCTTGGCCACATCCCTGACTCGGGAAGGGTTCGACCGGAAAGCTTGCAACGCCCTGCTTTCACAGGGTCTTTGTCCTCAGACTGCTGAAACGGCGCAGGCACTTCAAGCCCTTCATCCAGCACAACCTCCGCCCACCACTCCTGACGTGGCAGCTCAACCCGTGGCCGCGGTCTTGGTGCCTGAGGCGATTGCACGGCGACGGGCTTTGAGAAGCTTCCCGTCCGACACTGCTGCCGGCCCTTCTGGCCTTCGTGTTCAGCATCTTCGGGAAGCGTGTGCGGCTGGCTCCACCGAAGCTTTGCTGCAGCAACTTTGTGGGGTGGTGAGCCTGTTGGCGCAAGGCCAAGCTTGCCCTGCAGTTGCGCCTAGTTTAGCTGGTGCCAGCCTGGTTGCGCTCCCCAAGCCCACTGGCGGCGTCCGGCCCATTGCTGTTGGCGAAATCTTGCGGCGCTTGACTGCAAAGTGTTTGATGGAAGCTGTGCGCGATGATGCGCGGCAACACTTTGCTCCTGTGCAGCTTGGGGTTGCGATTCCCGGCGGAGCCGAAGCGGCGGTCCACACCGCTAGAGCTTGGTACGACCGCAACAAAGGGCAACCAGGCAAAGTGCTGGTGAAACTGGACTTCAAGAATGCCTTCAACTTGGTGTCTCGGCAGGCTGTGCTGGACGCTGCGGCTGCTCGCTTTCCTGCTCTGACTCGTTGGGTGGCGTGGTGCTATAAGCAGCCTTCAGAGCTCCATTTTGGAAGTGCACACCTGCTTTGCGCAGGTGGGGTCCAGCAAGGCGACCCTTTGGGGCCACTGCTTGTCGCCGGTGCTTTGCATTCCCTGGCGCTCGAACTCCGGCAGGGGCCGCTGGACATGGCTTTCTTCTACCTCGATGATGGCGTGGTAGCTGGTGATGCTGCGGCTGTCGGCGCTGCCTTAGCTCACATCCAAGCTCAGTCAGCGAATCTTGGGCTGCATCTCAACTTGGACAAGTCTGAAGTCATCAGCCTCGGTGCGACTAGCCACCCAGCCCTTGCGGCTCACCTTCCGCCGGCTTTGCTCGCAAATAGCCAGGGCCAGAGCCGGGTCCAGACCAACTTCGAACTTCTCGGGGCTGCAGTGGGTGAGGATGCTTTTGTCGCTGCGCACACAGCAGAGCGGGAAAGCGGCGTCCCAACTCCTCGATGCCATCAGTGGCCTGGATGACCCGCAGGTCGGCCTCCGCTTGCTTCGCTCCAGTGGCGGCCATTGCCGACTGGTCCACAGCATGCGGTGCACGCCGCCGGCTGCCCAGCTTGACAGCTTCAAGGCTTTTGACCAAGGAGTACGTGCTTGCTTTAGCAGCTTGACGGGCCTGCACCCCACAGATGCACAATGGCAGCAAGCTGCTCGGGGATTTGACCAGGCTGGGCTGGGGCTGCGCTCTACCCACTCGGATGGGCCAGCCGCCTACTTAGCCTCTCTTGGCAAAAGCCGCACCTTATGTGGCCAGCTTGCTCCCAGCTTCTCGAACGCGGAAACCCTGGCATCATCACATGCAGCAGCTGCTTTACACCTCTACAATGGTCACCTTCCAGCTGCTCAGCAAGCCACTTTGCTCACAAGCTTGGGCCAACAACAGAAGCAACTCACCAAAGTACTGGATGCTGTTGGCTGGGAAGCCCAACTTTCGGCTTCTTCTCTGACTGGAAGGGCCCTCCTCCTCTCCGAAGCTGCTCCTGGGGCACGGGCGTTCCTGGCTGCTCGCATGGCCAGCTCTGCCTGGAGCCAGCTGTTTTTGTCACGGAGCTGCGCCATCGCCTTGGCATCCCTGACGCTGGTGACGATGCGTGGTGCCCCCAGTGCAATGGCATTCTGGACCGCTTTTCCCTCCATGCTGGTACTTGTTCGGCAGGTGGGGAACGTACGTTGCGGCACCATGCTCTCCGTGACACTTATCTACAAGTGGGCTGAGAGGGCAGGTTTGCAACCAGAACGGGAGAAGCCTGGTTTGCTCCCAGCGCCCAGAAGAAACCGGCCTTGGGCGGCGCCGGCCCGCCGATGTCTTCGTTCCTAGCCTCGCTGGCATTCCAACCACATTTGATATAGCTGTCACAGCCCCTCAGCGGTCGGAGAGTTTACGTACATTTCAGGCCTCCAAAATGGCCCGAAACAGCCTGTTACTGAAGGACGGATCGTGCCATCGGCCAACAGCTGCGGGTGCCTAACGTTGCTTTCTGACGCAACTAGAAACTAGCTCCAAATTCCAGCTTGCAAGCCTCCAATACCTTGGCCTCGCAGCACCGAAACACCATGGAAATAAAGGACAGACGTGCGTCAGCACATTGACACTTGCTGCGTGTACGACTTGCTGCGTGTAATTGCTTCATCTTCTTCTTCTTCTTCTTTCTTTTGCCTCTTGCTTCTTCCTTTCTATTGTTTTTCTTCTTCTGCTTCTGCTTCTTCTTCTTTTTCTTCTTCTTCTGTTTCTTCCCTACTTGTTTGATTGCTTTCTCCTTTTCCTTTCTTTTAAATTTGCTAAACATTTTTCTTTTGCGTCGGCACTTTGACATTTGCTGCGTGTACGACTTGCTGCGTGTAATTGCTTCATCGTCTTCTTCTTCTCTTTCTTCCTTGCTAGCTTCTTGCTCTCGGAGCTTGATTGCTTTCTCCTTTCCCTTTTTTAAAGCTTGCTTAACTTTTCTGTTGCGTCGGCGCTTTGACACTTGCTGGGGGTACGACTTGCTGCGTGTAATTGCTTCATCATCTTCTTCTTCTTCTGCTTCTTGCTTGCTTGCTTGCTCCTTGCTCGTGCAGCTTGATTGCTTTCTCCTTTTCCTTTTTTAGACTTGCTAAACATTTTTGCTTTTGTATCCGCACTTTCACACTAGCTGCGTGTAACTGCATCTTCTGCTGCTTCTTCTTCTTCTGCCCCTTGCTTGCTTGCTCCTTGCTCGTGCAGCTTGATTGCTTTCTCCTTTCCCTTTTTTTGACTTGCTAAACATTTTTGCTTTTGCGCCGGCACTTTGACACTTGCTGCGTGTACGACTTGCTGCGTGTAATTGCTTCTCTGACGCGCTCCCTCTGCTGTCGGCAGGGGCCGGCGGAGTACATACATGATCATACATGTATTTGGGTTGGAATCGCTGATTCTTCTCTCCTTGTAAGTCTTCTCACGCCCCATTTTCATGATCTGTGCGGTGAACCTCAGAGGGTTTGACTGATTTGTTGAGTGCGGCTGGCTGCGGCGAAGAGTGGGTTTAGATCGTGTATGTGTTGGAGTCGGGGGCGGTTTGTTGGTGAGATGGGTTTGTCTCCAGGCCAACTTGCCAGTTTGTTTTTTTTTTGCTGGTTGGGTTCTGACTGTACGGCATTTGTTTCTCATGTTGCGCGTTGAATCGGATGGACAGATCGACGAATGAACCTCGTCCGTGAGCGATGTTTGCACTGTGTGTGTGTGTTTGAATTGTATGCGTGCATGTGCGCGCTCTTGTCATGGCATGCTGTCTCAGGACACGGTATTGTTTATCATTCTGCGTTTCTAACCAGGGATGCAGCTAGACAAGCGTCATTGTTGCTTGTTTTCTACATCACCAAGGATTGGACTGACTATATCACTATATCTTTTTGGATCCGAGGATAGGTCAAGAAAGTTTGATTGAGTTTTTTTACCGTGAAATTCACATCTTCTTCGTCACGCCCAAACCGAGGCGAAAGCTGCGACGACGTGTGCCAGTACAGTTGTGCTCTGGGTCAGATGAAGAAGGTAGATGATAAAGACCTTCTCCGACTGGCGGGGGGCACTGCTAAGGGTTGTGGCAACCCCGCCAGACCGGATGAAGGGATCTTCTTTTCTTCGGTTTATCCATATGTGTACGAAGGAGTCCGTTGCGCTAAGTGGCTGGATGATCCAAGATTTCCGCTTTTCACCTGCAGTGAGAAAGATCGCGTCCCCCCAGTGGACATGGTCCAGCGAGTTTGCGCCTGTCTTCCCGATCCTAATGCTACTACTACTACTACTACTACTACTACTACTACTATTACTACCACCACCACCACCACCACCATCACCACCACCACCACCACCACCACCACCACCACCACCACAACCACAACCACAACCACAACCACAACCACAACCACAACCACAACCACAACCACCACAACCACCACAACCACCACAACCACCACTTTCACCACAAGTTCTTCCACCACAACCACAACGGAGGATGAGACAACGGAGGAACCAATGACCACCACAACCGACAAACCCTATGGACGACATCGTCGACACCGAAGGTTTCGGCGTTTCCTCCCCTTCCGCCGTCACGACCGACATGGTTACTACGATCAACACGGCATGCGGGGAGCCCATTACACCCTGCTGCAGTAAGGCATTTTTGTCGCCTGGAACTTCTCCAAGGCTGTGCCAGCTGTGCCAGGTGCAGCTCTTGCAGCTCGTGGGTGGGAGCTCCTGGCGGCTTACGCGGGCAACAGCTTTGCGACGCAAGGCCTCATGCTGCTCGATCGCCACTCCGGGAAATCCATGGAGATCACCGCAGAAGACTGCACTTGGAGGGTCAAGGAAAAATCCTCATGGCGCAAGGCGCAGTTGGAGCTGCTCACTGCAGAAGATGGGAGCACCAGTTTTCAAGTGAAGAAGCTGCATGAGAAACTCGTTGAAGCCAAGGCGTTGAGGTCTGCCATCCTCTTGAAGATGATGGAGTCAGGCTCCGACATGAAAAACATCGCGAAACTCGTGGTCCATTGCAGGCCTAGCCATCACCTGGACTTCAAGGTGGCAATGTTCCAGAAGAGCGACATCAAGCATGTGGGCGGCGAACTTGGAGTGGCTCCGGATGCAAACCACGACTACCAGGCTGGGGTGACTCAAAGGCATTTGGCACAAGATGGAGACACATGCATGTCCAGACTACCCGTACCACAAAACTATTAGTGACTACGACTTGTTTTGCTGACAGTAGTTGTGGCAGGTACTATACTATACGTTGAATGCATCAATACAACTGTCTTCAGAGCTACTAAGGGGCTCTTAATATATTGGATACTCTATAATATAACGGGATTCCTGCAGTATAGCAATCCTCCAAGATTTTCCCGAATGCTTTTCCTTTCTCAGCTGTTCATCAGAGAAGTCAAAGGCATATAGATATGTACAGTACTCTGTATGTATATGTACGCGTTGATGCTTGATGCTGGGTGTACTTGAACCTTGTTTTGAGGCTGCTGGATCGTGGGTAACCTTGGGCGGCAGCACAGCTGGCTCCACATACTTGAAGAAGAAAAACCAAGCAGGGATAAGTTTGCTGCAGCGACAGAGCTGCGGTGACGCTCAGGAGGACACTGCCAGAGCGATTTGCGCCAAGCATCTCCAGGAAACACTGCACCCACAGATGTTTGCGGAGTGTGTGTACGACATATGCCATGGAGGTGATGAATCTTTGGCCGAAACTGCGGCAGCATTCCTTTTGCCGCTTGAGGAATCCAGCGCGTGAGACTGTATCCTGTACGAACAGTCTGCGCGGACGCAAAAAAAGCTTTCGTTTTTCCTTGCTGCCGAACTTTTGCAATCTTAATTCAAAGCTTCACTGCCAGGCTTTCCCAAAATCAAACAGTAGCATCGGTAGCAGCTAGCATCCCAAAACTTTCATGCAATGGGCCATCTGGAAAAGAGCAAAACTTTTGCATTTGCTTCTCTGACGCCTTTGACGCTTGGTGTCTGAGGTTTTTCAGCGCGACAATTGCCATTAGCCAGGCGTTCGGGCGGACAGGGAAAGCCATCATGTTTTCCATGTTTTTCGGTCGAAGCTGAACGACTTAATGGATCCACAAGTATTTAGTGAATTGGTATGCGTTTTGGGTGGGGAACCATCCCCAACTCCTTCCAAATGGCACAGCGATGGTGTTTTGCTCCCAATAAGGGACCCCAAATGAATCGATCTAGTACCAAACCAGAGTTGTGAGGAGGATGTTTATTATTAAGGCAATTGATTTTTCGAGGAGACGCCAAGGCAAAAATGCCATTGTGGCTACCGATTGGATGGAATGTTGGGATCTTGATTCCCAACAGTTCTTGTAATGAAAGCATGTTGGACTCTTCCCATGCTTTCAGGAGGACAAACCTCATGCCACTGTTTGGTATATATTCTTCTTTGATGTGGCTTGTGCTTTCAGTTGCTTCTAGTGCTTCATGCCGCGTGTCAGTGGGAAGTGAAGGCCAATCCTGTGGATTGTTCTCAAGGGAGGAGATATCGGCCCGGGTCGTTGGTATACATGTTGGTACGAATATGCGGAAGCATCGAAAATCTGCATGAGAGGATAGGAATTATTTTTTTCATGTGGCGGTAACTATTTTATGACTGATGTGAAATCTTATAAAATGATAACATCAGAGCCGTTTGAAGCTGCACAGAAGCTGCACCGCAGGTGGGATCACCTTCCTTCTTGAGGTGCCGACATGAAATTTGTATATGTATAAAGTAAATAAATATATATATATAGTGATTATTTTATTTAAGTTTAGTTTTATTTTCGAAGGAAATTTAGAAGTCAAATTTCCGACAATATGGACAGATGAAAAGCAGAGATGGGAAGAGTCAGAGAGAAGAGAAGAGTAGAAGAGAGAAGATCGGAGAAGAGAAGGAGTCAGAAGAAAGAAGATGCAGGTGCGCGAAAAGGTAGGAAAGTCGCGAAGCACTGTGTTTTTCCAGTGATTTGTGGCTCCGGAGGGTCGAAAAGTAGGCTCGCTAAAGCGGCGGTTGCGGAGCCATCTGGCCAGATGAGAAGTGAAAAATTGCACACCGTTGTGGCGCGAAGCACATTTCGAAGTCAAAATTCAGAGTTGCGACAGGGAAAAAGTGCACGCCGTTGTGGCGCGAAACATATTTCGAAGTCAAAACGTACAAAGCACACCATTCTCGGACCACTCTTGGAAGTTGAGATGTCGAAAAAGTGCATGCCGTTGTGGCGCGAAGCACATTTCGAAGTCAAAATGTACAAAACACACCATTCTCGGACCACTTTTGGAAGTTGAGATGTCAAAAAAGCGCAAAGAGCCAATCTGGTAGCACGAAACGCAATGGGATCAAATTTCTACATGCGAGTTGCGAGACAATAGTTTCATCGTGTAGCAGGTGGAAAAAACACCGACGAAGGTGATGATCCCATGGCTGGCAGTGAAGGAAAGGAATCAGAGAGTCCTACACATGACCCACATGTTCTTGCAGGTAGCGTTGGGGGCTCAACCGATAGACCAGTTGGGGTTCAGTCCTTGATGGATGACTTCACGACCCACCTCAACAATGCTTTGGCCAAAGAGCATTTCCGAGATGCCTCCGTCATCCAACACTTGATGATGGGTTTGCTTGACTTGACATATCAGAACGAAGTCCAAGACCCAGCACGTCGACGCTGATTCCTGGACCTGTTGATAGACAGATTTGAACGGATGATGACAGATGCGAGGAGACATGGGCAGATTGACATTGCAAATGTCTACGATGCACATCTCCGTGAACGGAGAAAAAATTCCAAAATGAGCTGGTCAATCCAAAATGAACAGGAGTACTAAAATCTTGGGACAGTGCTCTCAGTTTGCATTTCGTGTCAGTTCATGTGAGATTCAGTTGGCCATGCACAAATTGAGAAGTGTCGCGCAGCATGTGCTTGCATGAGAAATTCATGGCAAAATCACTCACTCGTTGAAGCCTTTGGCGTAGAGGTAAAAGGAGTGGCAGCTGCTACGCAGTATCCTTTGATGTCGAAATGCCGTCGCCTTTTCATTTTTTTTCGTTAAACGGAGAAAAAGGGGGTGCATGTGGACTTTTTCAGCGCATTGAATCACAAATTTGCACGTATGCAACACGCATATGTTTAATTCACTACCGTGTCGTCGTGAATAGGTTTTAGCAGTTGCATTGACCAATGGAGTTTATTCCATGATGACCGTTTGTACTTTGTGATAGTGCTGCGCCTTGACTTTCCGGAACTTGCTAGCCGTTGAAAAATACATACACGGAGTCATTTTTATCAAAAAAACAGACACCATGTTAAATTTGATGATGCATGCAACCAATTTGCACTTAATTTCCACCGCGTCTCAATCGGTCGATTTCCCCCCAGCTAGCAAAGTTAGCGTATGACCAAGGCAAATTTCATTTTGGACCGGTCTAAACCCAGGAAAAGGTTCAATGCGGTATCCTTTGCGGGGTTCGAGGTGGCTTAGGGGTTTATGCAGTTTAGTATAGTGGTTCTGGAGATTCCGGTGTGGGTTCCAGTGTGGATTCTCAGATGAGCTGCCTGTGGCCACGGTTGAAATTTGACAGGTGCTCAGTGGCTGCTGTCACACATATAGATATAGATATAGATATAGATATAGATATAGATATAGAGATAGTGATGGAGATTGAGATTGAGATAGCTGTAGATGTAGATGTAGGTGTAGATATAGTACAAGTAGTGTTTCGAAGTACCCATAATGACATGCTGGGCAATTTCTTGCTTTGATTTTTCAACACATGCTTCGAAAAAAATGTTTTTGGTCCCCTTTGTTTGAACCAATGGCAAAATTCAGCTTTATTTTGCTCTTGCATGTGGAAAAAAACCCGTGAACGCAGCGTTATGGTTCAATCATAGATGCATCTTGTTCAACGTCATGAAGTATGCGACGAGGGCATGCCTTTCTTGCTGTGCGGTGATTTGGGCTACGTTGGTGTTTGCATATTTGCTGACTCATGAACAAGTGATCCATGATCCTCACACCAGAGTTGGTGCATCCATATCCATGGCCTCATACAATGACTCAGGCTCCGAAGTGTTTGTGACTTCCACGGTTCCGTCTTCCTTTTCTTATCCTCTTCGGCCCTTAGCCGTGTTTGAAAAAAAATGGGATCCCATGTCTGAAGAAAATTGGGATCAAAATTTCAAATGTTTCGACAAATCGACCTTCACTTTGACATTTTCTTTTGATGTTGGATGGACTGCTTTGAATAATCAGCACATTGGTTTGATGCACGGTTTCGCATTGGCTTATTTGCTTGGAGCCAAAACCATTGTTGAGCCTCGATTACGATTTGGTCTGAACAAGGAATCGTTACATCGGAACAACATGAATGCTCAAATTGAGTCCACTCTTTCAGGTTCCGCCACAGAAGTTTCATTGCAACATCTTTACGACGGCGCCCAAATCAATGAAGCCCTGAGACAGCTCGATATGGCTTTGCTTCCAGAACCACCACGCAACATTGAAACTGTAAATTTGGAACTTGACATCAATACAGGTGGAGAACCAATTCGTGCGATTTGTTCGAAAGTTCGGGAATTGGTCATGCGCAAAAAATCCACGCATTTTCTTCTCCGTTTGGGTCTGGCAGCAGGTTTTCTGAGAGTCGATGAATTGAATTTGGGTTTGATATCGTTTATTGACAGACACCTCCAATACAATGAAGGCATTCAAATGGCAACTCAATTCTTTTTGAGTCAATTGCCAACAGCATTTAACGGCCTTCACATATCGCACGAAACTTCCAAGACTTGGAGAACCGTGCTCCCGCAGAAGGTGGTGCCGAGACTGATGGAATTGGGGTTCGATCTCAACACTACAATATTTGTTGCTTCGGAGGTGCCTTAAGCGTGGATAGAAGCAATGGTTTGAGATGGTACACCGGTGCCTTTTGTGCGGATCATTCAGAATCATTCACGCTATATCATGTTCGATGTTTCAAGGATTTCACCAGCATTCCCCAGCCTGGGACACTTAACATCTACAGAAAAAAACAAAGAAAAAAACAATCGTGAGTCTTAGTCACTTTAGTCTTAGTCAGAACTTTGCCATTGAACCAATGGGTAAGAGGGAAGGTCAAGGCTCAAGTCCTTACGATCCACTGCGCAAAGTATCCACGTTTGAAAAAACACTGTTCGTCAACCCTTCGTCGACCGTTCGTGTGCTTTGCACGATTTTGACTGCCTTGATGCAACGGTTCCACTGTGCAAAAGTATCCATGTCATCCAGAAGTTGCGTAGAATAGCAGTATCAGCAGTGCAATACAAACATGAACGCAGTGCACTTCGTACATCGTTTTTTGCACCCTGCGCATTTTTGTACACAGGTTTCCCAGCTTCAGGTCGGAAACCGCGAAAATACACACCTTCCCCTTTAAACCCGAACCTTCAAAAACATTATATTTCGTGCCTTCCTTCCTTTCACCCACCCTGACCTAATCAACACACTAAGTATACCATGAGCGTGTGAACATGCAGCATATGGCCAAGGGGTCCAAGGGATCCAAGGGGTCCAAGGGATCCAAGGGGTCCAAGGGCAAAAAAAATGAATATGAACCGTGTAGCACCAACCATTACAATGGGTTGCCCTTTTGTTTTTTGCTTAAATGTCTAAATGATTCTAAATGTATTTTTATACATTTTGGATTTAGAATATTTATATATTTTAGATTGATTTCGTATTTCACTATTTTTACTTGTATTTTCTTTTTCTGATTTCTTATCTGTGTTTTCCTGAATCGAATGGTTGCCCAAGGTGCCGCTGGAAGGACTGAAGCATTGTGGCCTTACCAGGTCGCAACGATTTTGAACTACTCGGTGCAAAATGACTCAGAGAATGTTCTGTCAGATCTGAAAACTTGGAACTCTTGGAACACTTTGAACACATCCGGGTTGGATTTCTTTGGCCCAATCAACCAATTGATCCTCGAGAATAAGCATTGCATCAATTTCACAGGTTTCAGCCTCTCAACAGCT